ATTTTTCCATGACATGGCACGTTCGGCCGAGTCAAATTTAAATTTACATCGTTTTTCGTATCTTACTTACAAGGTTACATTACATATTCAGCAGTAGAAATTGCTGTTCCGCACAGTTGGAGACTTCTCGATTAAATAAGGTTCTCTCTCTGTGCTGGCAAATTCTATATGTGTGTAAGTAACGCTTGCGATTATTGCAATTTGTAATTTATTCAGTGAGGAGTGGACGGAAAACTATTCTTTTATTTGGCAGAATTTGAGGCGAGTCTGCAAAAGAGGTAGCATTTATTTGCTTCATTTTATTTTATTTATGTGAACACGACCCTCCCAATTTCATTTCATTTTATTTTATTATCTAGTTGTGGTTGTGTTTTAGTGATGCGAAAGTAATAGTGGTAGTGGTTGGATATGTACATATGTACTTGTAAATATCTGCTTGTATATGGTTCTCTTGTTGCGAATAAATCTCACGCAGAGCAGACTCGTGTAAAGTAACACGGCAGAAAAGGTCCAGCGTGGACGTTCTTTACAAATTGTTATTGTTCATTGTTACATTATAAACTCGTGTTCATTCATCAACAACTTTTCCCGAAATAAAGAGGAGGAGGAGGTGGAGAATTTACTCAAGGGTGTGATTCCAGTTTGGTTGGAAACAAAGTATAATAATCCTGGTGTAGCACGAAGAGGAAAATAACCAACTATTAAATACTTGAGTATGTATGTCGAATGTTTAGCAATTTTCGAAAATAAATGTGGGCACCACCTGCGTTTTACTTTCGAGTTCTTTTTTACACTCATTTTGACTCGTTAAGCAGAGGGCAAAAAAAGTTTACCCTTGTTGAAATTATTACTTACAAGAACGGGTTGAGTGGAGAGTGTAGTCTGTGATGTGAGGCTGAATTTATATGCACAATCACAAAATAAAACTCGTTTGTGCTTACATACATACTTGCTCTGTCTGGACTGTTATGAATGAAATTTGGCACAGTTTCCCTTCCGGGGAGCAGAATACAAGTGCAGGCAGAAGACTATTCATTTCATTCATATCCCGGAATGAGAGAACAATGACATTCCTAACGTTTATTTTACTTTACTGTTTTAAAATGGATACACTTTTTCCATTTTTGCAAGACACACACTGTTCAAAATAAACTCCACTCGAGCGAGGAGTAGGTTTCTGGTTGCTCGTGTTTCATAAATTCGTCCTTACGAAAAAAAATAAAGTAATGCGTATGCAATATCCATCCACAACGTCAACTTATTTAGTCAAGACAAGAGAGAGAGTGAAAGAAAGGGACGAAGGGAGTATGAAATGTGATAGAAAAGTGCCGCAGGTGGTGGTGTCGCTAATGTAAAAGTAAGCCAAGGGAAAAGATGAGAAAAAAATAACGTCCTTTTTTTCTGCACCAGTAGCACTACTACTACTAGGAGTAAAGTAAGGTGTCTATTTTTCTGGAAATGAGAAAACCACCAGCAAAAATGAATTGCATTTCCTTAATAGGGTTTTACATCACAGGCTCCACCACCACCCTCCCCTGTGAAAAGGGAGAAGAAGACAAGTACGAAAAAAAGTAATGCTTTTTTTCTGCAAGGAAAAAAAATTATAGAATTTATTCAGGAAATTGTCGTAGCATCGTTTGTAAATACGCGTGTACGTTGGGAAGGAAAGGTGACAAGCATGAAGTTCCAATTTGCAGGAGAGAGTGGAGAATAAAACGCTTCAAAGCTACAGAAAAGCAGGCTCGATCAATTTAAAGCGGATTTTATTATTTACTTTCTCAGACGTGGCCTAATCCACCCGAAGGAAATGTGGTGGATTTGTAACGCTACTTTATTCATGCATTCATCCACCAGACCACTATCAACTGGTATGCTTGAGAAAGTGAGTTGGTTGACATGCATGCAGTACTAAATTGAATATTGAATCGTTCCACCTCATAGGAAGGAATTTTCTTCCTCCACTTTCTTAAGTCGGATGAGATGAACAAGATTTGTGTTCCGATCTTCTTCTTCTTTCTTAAGAGGAGGAGGAGAGGAAAAGAGGAAGAAGAACTGATGGATTTATGCAAGGAAGCAAAATCTCCCTTCATATCAGACACACGGAGTGCCCCTTTGGATCATTTATTTGACAATTTGAACCCACGAGGAGGTATTTTACACCCATATTTTTGGCAGAATGATTTATCAATTGATTTGCCTAGTGATGAAGACATATTACGTTCCATCTAAAAATACTTGGCACTCTGAGAGACCAAAATGTGGTTGGTTTTACGTGTATGTATAATCATCATGAGAATGTTGAAAATTCTCAATTTCTCGTCAGTCTGAATTTATTTCTATTCAAGCAAAGTTTCAAATTCCAAAGTAAACCAACATTAAATGAGAAATTCGACCCTTTTCCTTTGACAAATTATGTACATACCTCACCAAATTTCTACACCGTTCGGTTCCCTCTCACTTAATGACAATTAAACGAGTTAAAACCAAACAAGAGCATTTAGCAAAAGTTTAATATTTGATTACAACTTGGGAATGTAACTTGATACTCATTGTTATCAATCCCACACAGACTAGTAAACACGTCGCTTCGCTAAATTTCGTCCATCTGTGTACGTAGACACATATTTGCTTAAGGTTGAAATCAACCAGTGATTTAATTTCTCCCCTGAAAGCTGCCGTGTCATTGAATGATGTGACTTTCAATGTGACCAAAGAAGATAGTGGTGATGCCTTCCTCTCCCATGAATGATATGCATGACAGATAAGAGTTCTCTTTGTGATGTGGCATCATCAGAGAGGAGGAGGCGACGTTTGTTCTCTTAATAAAACCATTCAAATTGGCAATACAATACGCTTTTCTCTCAGCCAGGGAAGAACTACAATGCACACTCCGACCCAATTGACAATCAACTCGAAGACAAACCCAAATCTGATTTATTTCGCTTGAATCGACATCTGAAACTCATCCGCCCAATGGAACTTCTAACCATCCCCATCAAAGTAAGTCGTCGTCATCGTCCCACCTATATTGGAAACCCATAAAGCTTAATGCATTCGCAAATTAGAGTCAGACTAGCACATACATTTAGCTAAATTACGTCTCAGATTTTATTGGCCGTCTCTTTAAAGGTAAAAGGATTGGTTTGTTCTGTCTGAACCTTTGAACAAAAACATACATAGTCTCGCGGAGACAGTCGACATGGCGAAATCATAAACTACATCTGGACGACAGTACAGATATTCTGCACACATGTTAAGAAATATTTAAATGATGGTGACATTAACTTTGGCAGTGAGAGAGGACATCATAATATCGTATCTTATTCTTTATACGTCGTCAAGTACTTTTGTACCGAGTACCACCAACTTTGCCGACTTGAGTTGACTTGACAGTTTGAATTTTGACTCTGCTTCGTAACCCTGGTGGGATGATGATGATGATGATTTTCTGCGAGATATGTCACCGACAAGCGACATCACCCAAGAATTTATTGCCCTTCCTTCCCCCTTCTTATTACATTTCTATACATACATATTTACATACATGCTCATCTATGTAAGTCAGCTCAGCTACACAATATTGAGGTTGGTCTCTGCACAAGAACTGTGTTTTTTAAAGCGAGATATTGAGGAGCTGAATATGTGTCTTGTCGCGGATGCAATGTGCCATTCACAATCGTCATTTATTATGCAGGTCGAAGACACTGTGAGACAAGGAGGAGGAAGACGACCTGTGACAGAGGAAAATGTGCTTGAATTTCCCATTTGTTTCATTTTAAGTTCTTTTTTTCACTAGAAAAGTGAGGCAAATCCAATGATGAAAAATGTGCAAAAAAGGAGTATGCAATTCATCTCCTTCATTTCACGAGGTAAATTATGTTACGTAACGTGAAACCACTAATCACTCTGTGTTCGTGATATCCACATATTTTCCATCCATCCATCCAATCTGTATTCATCCTCTTTTCTCCCTCAAGTAAAATGAGGGATGATGAGATAGCACAAGCAATACATCACTCGAGATGAGACAAAAGTCAAGTGATGCCATTATACGTACCGACATTGTGTATGTGAGCCGGGCATTATGTCCCATATAAGGAGGGGACGCAAAGTTTTTAGTTACTTATTAGCCTCCTCTCGTCCCGTATCTTGCAGTCAAAAAGAGCACTTTAACCAAAGACAATGGAGATTCGGTGAGACAAAGCAATGTCTTGTGAGAGGATAATGTGATGCAATGTAATTCAAGCAGAGTCAAGTCAACGGTTCTCATGTGCGAGGAGGCAGCAAAGATTCGCCTCATTGTCATTGCCATCAGTTTCATTACCGTATTTCCACAGAATAAAAATCCGTACGAAGAAATCTCGGTGTAGATGATGCTCTATCTCTCCGATTTTTGGAGTGGGTGGGGATTCCCCGGTGGACATATGCCTACCCGGATGAAGGCGAGACGTTCGGATTTTACGGTATAGGTACACACAAACACAATACAAAGCAACAGATGTAGTAATTTAAAAGATAGTAAAGTTTAACTCGGCGAGTTAAATTGCAGTTTGTTGTTGTAACTTGGAGAAAAAGATGGGGAGGAGGAGGAGTATGGAATGGTAATAATGGTGAGAGAATGGTCGGTGCTTGGGAAAAGTGTTGTGAAACTTGTGTCTTTTCCCAGTTTCGGAAGATGTTATCTTTTACATGGACAACAGAGTAGAAAAGTTGGAGATGAGCAAGATGGAACATCTGTCTTAGCAAAAGGATTCGAAAATTCTGGGGAGGAGGATGAGGGTGCCTTGTCTTATTTTAGTTGGGATAAATTAAGCAGTATACGTATTGTTTTTCTCAAGAAAGAAAGAGAAGCTGAGACTGACAAGTATGGATAGATTTGTGTGTTTCCACACGTGTGTGTGGAAAAGAAGGTGAAAAGTGTTGGGATTTTTTCCCCAAAACTGAAACGGATTGAGATTCAATATGCAAAATACTCATACATACATGAATGCCAATCTTACCTTCATGTTCAAATAACTTTGTTGCAAGTGTTGGAAAAGCCATGTCGCATATTTTATTCTTCTTTGTTGTTGTTGCTGCTAATTGTTTTTATTAGATTTTGAAGATGTGCAAAATGTAATTAAATTACAGGTAATTACGCAATTTTTCTTTGAAACCCTGCTCTTACATCATCTGTCTAGACCAATTTATTACGCAAGACGTATTAAATCTCAAACTAAATGTCAACTTATTCCACACTTTCCATTCCATCCAGAGTATTTGAGATTTGTTATTTTTTAAACAAGAAAAGTTCAGCCTGTCGCACCACCTAAGAGAGAACAAGTCACTGTCGTTTTTCAATTACATTTCAGCATTTATCTATCTCTCTGACTCTCTTGTTTCACTCCTTTTTCTCGTCCTCTCAAAGTTAAGTGTGCTCTTAAAAGTGTCACAACATTTCAACATGAGAAATGTGAACATGCAGAACAATGGAGCACTTGTTTAAAAAAAGTTGGTTCACTTAAAAAAAGCAACAATTCCAATTGCTGACTTTTTTCTTGGGATAATTTTGACACTTGCTCCCAAATATTCCTCGATTTGTAGAAGGGGAAGAATTCCTTACTGAAATTTTCCAATGGAAAATCACAACTCGTTGCAAAATCCTCAATAATATTTGCCGTATTTTTATTACCAGTTCTCCCGAAAAAGTCAAATTTTATGTATTTTTCACCACTTCACTTGAACCTTTGTTTGAAATAAATAGCCAACAAATAACAATTTTTTGTTCCCTCCTGTCTCGTTATCTTTCCATATATTCTCCTTCCCGAGGTTGAAAAAGTTGCACCCAGTTTTTGTCCTTAATTTTGACTGACTTGTTTTCTCTTTGAGTTTAAACCGCAAATCAAAGTGCTTCACGAGAGTCAGTGAAGTGGATCTCCGCTCTCTCCTCCTCCCTCCTTTTGCCAACAAAGGAAAAGATGAAAATGGTAAAATGAAAGAAATCGCGTTTATTTTGGCAGTGATGCGAATTAGAGGAAAAGAAACGACGAGTCTCACTCTCTCACTTTTCAGACGACGATCACGACGGCTTTTGCACTCACATCCTCCCACTACGAAAACCGAACCGGTAATGTGGTGGTTGGCAGTTTGAACTCGAGTTTGGTAGTAGCACGACCAGGGTGCAGATTCACTTCACTAGTGCTACTCGTCGTACTTACTGGGAAGAAGATTGCATGTGATCTCTCTCCACGGCTGTTCTTGACTACAGAGAATTTCTACAGAGAGAATTTCGGATGGTTCTTCTCTCCCAAGTCCAAATTTTCTCATGTGAGTGAATAATACGCGAATATGAAGCTGGCAAAAGGACCAACCAACCCTTCACTCTCACCATTCCACTTTGCACTCACTTCATTCCTCCCAACCTGCCGTTAAGTTATATGGTGATGAAGATGTGTGTCTGAGTAAGCACAGTTACAAGTAAAGGTCCTCCGCAGAAGAGCTAAATAAAACAAGGGAGGAGAGAAATGCATGATAGTTTGGATGGAATACGATATCAATTCGAGTGTAACAGTTGCAATTGGGTTCAAGATAAGTCTCGAAATCTCACTGAATAATGAAACTCAATTCTATCCCAGTGCTCATTGAAGAGTGTTGATGTAACGTTATGTGATGGTAATGTCGGCTAATATGCATTCCTCCGCGGATCCAGGGGAGAGTAAAAGTAGTAAAAGTAGCCGTCATTATTGCCTACATAACCTGGTGAATGTCGGCGAGTATGCATGTAAGTATTATAATAAGCCTGTCTGCTTGGTTGGTTGGGCTGGGTGGGTGTTCGTGTCGGTTGGGCAGATTGGATATCTAAACTAACTAACCTGAGCCAAACTCAAGTCAAGGGTAAGGAAAACTTGGAAAGTTTCATGAATTGATGAATTGCAGGAATATGAATCACAATGGGAACTTTCCCCGGCAAGATAAACCAAGAACGAAGGAAGGCAAGGAACGGACGGACGAGACAGTTTCTAAATGAAGGCAACTCAAATAATAATAATAAAGGTTGTGCCTCCACCTTATTCATCATCAGCATCCCATTTCCCAACCTGCTGCTGAATCTCCTGATGCTCTTCGCTTTCACCGTAAGATAGGAACACACAGATAAGGTGAACGGATGGAGGAAGAGGTACTCCCGCATTGGAGAGGATTATTATGTAAATGTTGATAAGTTAGTATTCAAATTAAGGTTGGATGAGAGAGAGAGAGGATAATACATACAAAGAGATGCATGCATCAAGGAAGCAAGCAACAGCGGATGTACGAGGGGTATTCCGGCGAGGAGTTGGAAAATGGGTGTTGGAAATTATTTTGAACCAAAATTTTAAGCATATGACTATAAGTTTGTGCCAAGGGTTGGCCCCATAGCTTAAAAAAATAAATGAGGCATCGATTTCTAGTTTGGAAATCTGAGATTTTTTCTGTCGAGGTTAAGTTTGCATATTTTGAAGGTAATTGCTATAAGAAATAAAATAGTCCTAAATATATCCTAATTTTATTTAAATTTTAAAAAATAGTCCTAAACAATGCCCAAAATGTCCCTTTTCGAAAGCCCCACCGGAAACCCCTCGTGTATAATGCGAGGGTATACTTATGTATTTACATATGCACATACTTAAGTATAAGAGCTAGTTTAAGTTGCGATTTTAGACGGAGTAAACGCTCTGGATAAAGTATTATGTAAAGTTTGAGTTTCTCACTCGTAAAATTCTGCATATCACATAAAAAATGATGTCACACGAGACGCCATCCTCCAAACTTTATTAAACATTTGTAAATAATTTTGAAAATTTGACCCTCTTTCTACCCAGAAAAGATCACGACTTCCACTTCTTTCTTTTCAATAAGCGTGCAATGTGAATTTGACTACTTGGTTGTTGGTTAGTTCCTCTCGTCTGGTTGGCATCTGTTTATTGAAGTTTGTTCTGGTGTGGCCGTGGCCTGTGTCAGATTCGTGGGATCGGATTCTTTTGTATTTGGATTGGATTGAATTTGTTTGTCTCTCACTCACCCTTCTTCTTCTTCCTCATCCTCTGCTCCTCTCTGCCTTCCAGAGAATCCGAATGGAATTCGGGGTTAAAGTCAACAGTCAACAACACGGCACATCCTTTCTCTGCCTGGTTTGTATTCTTTGCAAAAGCAAATAGCAAATAAATCTCTCCGATTTCGAGATACAAGAAATTCACGCTTTCCTCCAGACAAGACATGGGGCGAGAGGACTGTGCGCCGCAGTTATTACTACGAACGAGGTGTTGTTGTTGGATGGAGAAGGAAACGTGATTTCGTTATTACTATTTCTATATTATGTTGAGAAGTCCTTTGCTGAGTAGGCAGAAGAGAATTTCGTGGACAACTTGCAGGTTTCATGTTTTGATATTTCTTACACGAGAGGAAATGTTTAGATATTTGCTTTTTGCATGGATTCTCATATTTACAGAGGATCAGACGGATCAGCTTCGTGTAAGACGACGTGGACACGATGTTGGTAAAGAGTAGGTAGCATACAGAGGGTATTATTGAAAAGTGTTATGGTTGGATTTTAGCTACAAGTTTTCTGTTTATAAATTTTTATAAAATTTTCTGAAATTGTACACCGAAATTTTTTATAGCATCGTATTCTTGCAAGTATCCTTCCTCTCTCATCTCGTGTTTGATATTTTGAAACAACATGTAGAATCTCATCCCCATATTTTACACGACCGCATTTTCATGCACTCGTGTGATACACAAATATGCGTGTGCCTAGCTATTAGCATTCTCTCCGGAGGAAATAAACTTGTTAAATTGGCTGCAGCTTCCGTGTGCATCTAGGAATTGAAACTCATTGCTCCCATCGGACCCTGTTTCATTACTGCCTTCCAAACCAAACTTTAGGCGAGAATGCCGTTTTGTCGAACATTAACATTACACCAGGACGGTAAATATTGGCACTTTTTGACCTAAAAGTTTCAAAGTGAGGATACAAACTGCAGGATTTTCAGTTCATATAATTAACCAAGCCAAGGATCTTCTTCGGTAAATGAAACTTTGAATTATTTATGCAATAAATTCCCTTCTTTATCAACAACTACCAAAAACGGAGGCTGCATATAAGAAGAAGCTATTTACATTTTCGTGGTGTTGGAAGTTGGCCCCAAAAATGCTGCAAGTACTGTTTGTTTGCCTACTTGGTGTTGGAATTCTTGTGGGATTTGTGCTATTTTCCTCATCTAAGTTTCTTCTTTCCCCCTTCGATTCGAAGGAGGAGAGGAAAATTGCTTCTTGGCACAGAACAGGCAGCAGTTAGCAATTAAATTGAACGTCATCTTCATCTTAGGACTGAAGGGGACAGTGGCAGAGGTAGACGCAGTACGTACGTATACCATTCGAGAAGTTGTGCGGAGTGGTAATTTAACGAGCTAGTCAGGCCAAGTGCCGTCCTCGATTTCAATTATAGACTTAATGGGATATCCCATTTTCCCCACTTTTCTAACTTTCATCATAATAATGTGTCTTTATCAATCAATATCGACGACTCGAGAGGTCCGTCGGTGTGATAGGTGATGTAGTATGTGCGCAAAGTGCTTTCTGGTAAACGTGGCCATAATGCAGAATGACATATTTTTGCTAGATACGATCGACCACACATTTATTTGCCCGTGTCCCCAATAAATAAATAGAGGACGCAGCACTTAAGGCTGTCTTGTTTTGCTTCGTACCTTTTCGTCACACATCGATTCATCCAATTTCGCGACTTTGAAAAAAAATACAAACGCTGCGAGATTCCTTATTTCACAATCCTTCGCTGCTGATGCTTTGTGCTTTCTCCGCGAATAATATTGACCGGATGTCAGTCCCGTCCTTCTCATACAACTCATTCTCACCCACTCACTCACACGCCCACACGCACTCCGAGACGTCACAATGGTCCAAAAAAGTTCTGATCAGACAAAAGATAAGGCTTGATAAGGTCCGTATAAAATAGTAGAGCGGGAAGGTGGCCGAATTGGGGGTTTCAATTAGATTTGGATTGCTTTTGCTGCTACTAGAACCACCACCGCCTCCTACTTATTTTCATTCTCATGGAAAGAATCACCAGCCAGATTCTTTTTCTCAGCGTATAATATGGAATCCAATCCAAGCCTGGTACATAAAACCTCGTGTATTATTCCGCCGCGAGATATACGTGTTGTGCACAACTGGTGGAGAAAACTAAATGTGATAAAGTCTCATCTGACAGAGGATTGGCTTCTCCTAATGGGCATATCTCTTATCTATCTTATAGCATCTTCTAAGCCCACTTGCTTGCCCAGTTTTCGGATCTGAATTAGAAGAAAGTGCTGAGAATCACACCTTCTGCTTGGGTCGCGATGGGATGACAAATTTTCTGTGGGAGTGAAGTGAATAATTACAAAAAATGGGGACGGCACTTATTTTAATTACGGTGTCTTAACTCTTGCAATTTTTTGTCGACGGAATTACTGGATCTCTCCATGTAATAATAAGTTCCTTGTCTTTCTTCGCATTTTTTCTCACTTTGTCATCATACCCGTCGTCTCCATTCAGTTTAACCGGTCTTGTCGATTTCATCATCACTTTCTACTAAATGCTGGATAAAGTCGACTATATATGAGCTGGTGTATGAGTAGTAAGTGCAGGTATACGTACACAGGCTTCTTAACGTTCGCTATTTTACTTTCTCTCACGAAAAAGAGAAAGTCACTCGCTCGCCTCAGTCAGAAACACATTTAACTTTTCTCACAATGTGCAATTGACATGATAGACAGTGACATTGTCACAAAGGACGCAATCAAAGCAGAATAATGAATGGATGTGAGGCTTGAATGGAGGAAAAATCAAGCGTGTGCGTATACATATTGCACCTCAATTCACACGGGGTTCGTTTTTTTTATCTGAAATCAATCAAATTTATTCATCAAGAAATCTTCCGATTTAACAAGCCAACAAGAAAAAAATGATGCTAGATCTCCATTTACATAACAGAATAAAGAAAATAAGGACGTCTCGTGGAAAATGCCTGGTGGGAATTTTGCAAGCAAAATGATGCGATCATAGTGAAAGCATAACATCGAATGCGTAGTCGAGATGCAACATAGAGATGCAAAGAAAAATACGAATCGAGTTTACTTTATTTCTCGGCATTCTCCAAATGAAAGTCGGACGGAAATGTGGCCAACACTCTGAATCTGCTGCTGCCTTTTATCTGCCGTGGCCCCGTCCTCAGAAGAAGAACCTCATCATTGCCGACAACACATTTGCTATCCGGTTTTCTCTATGTGGGTGAATGTACCGTGTTCAAAATTGCGTTCAAATGCTCACTTCCTCCTCTTTCCTGTCGTCTATACACGCATTCCCGCACCACTTTCACCGCTTTCACTTCCACTGGGTAATCAGAGCTGGAAATGTAGCCTAATAAACTAAGAAGTTACATGTGGGTGGCACTTTGCATGAAAAAGTCGACATGGAAAATAATATTTTAAATACTTTCAAACATCTGGATTAGATTAGTCTTTGAGTTATTTGACAAAAGACGGATTTGGCGAAATGTCGACATAATTTATGAATCTCTGATTAATGTGAGTGCATCTTCAAAGACGGTTCACTAATACACTTCGCTAAGTGCCTTGCTTTCCAGGTTTGACTGCATGGCGGCTTCTTATTTAGCTAAGCTTTATACTTATTTGGCACTTGAGACATACCCACTTTCTCCCTTTTGCTGCTGGATACATACACCTTTCTTTCAGTGAGTCCTTTCACTTTCTGTCCGTCCTGGGTTGACTTATCGTTACATAAGCGTGCACAACGGACTTGACAAGTTTATTTTGGCTTGCCAAATCTGTGCTGACTACAGCACCCCGTCTTCAAGTTTGGCTCTTGCTGAGTGAATTTTAGCGTAAAAATGACTCTCCCTCACCCAATATTAAGCAGCCCTGAACTGTATATAATTCTTCAAGATATTGCAAAAGTATTGGCGGAGTTGCGTTGTGAAGTACATATCTCAAGGAATCACAGCCTGGAATGTACACATATCTCAGTTTATTACAAAATGTCCTGCGAACTGGTCCTAATGGGTTTTATACCCGTAATAACTTTGAATTTGTTCCTCAATCGTGCCTTCATCTTTCTCTCGAGAAATGCGAAGATGTCTGATTGCCAGTATTTACCAAGTCCTTTCCACCACCACCAAAGCAAGGTCTCTCTCCGACTTTCTCCCACCACCACCTCGACTCGACCAGCTCTCTCGTCCAAGACTAGCAAATGGGACGACGACGGAGAAAATAAAGTCAAAAGTCTTCAACTCTTTCGGGAAGAAAGTTCAATTCAAAGAAACCACTGCTGCCAAATGAATGAATAAATAAACATTGACTTGTCACCCGCTTTCGAGTAAAAGTTGAAAGTTTCGGCGACTACATATCTCATGAGACTGGTCATCACAGTCAACTGCTGTAATGAGGGAATGATGATTTCGGAAAAATTGAAATTTCACAAAATTCCGTAAAATCCTGCCATGCCAAAAGTGCATCTGCCTAGAGTGAATGTACCAAAAGAAAATAAACTGCCAAAAACCATCCAACCGAATGAACAACAGTGTGGATAAAGGGAACATGAGAAAGTTTGTTCCCTTTTATTCGTAGCAATAGAAATAACAGTCAGTCAGTCAGGTTGAGGAACTTAAATACAAAGTCCAAAGTGTCAGACTTCCCGAAAGTGTCCAGTCCTCGAAGAAAGCGGAAGAAATGTATGTACAAAAGTAAGCGATGCTTTAAAAGTTAAATCACAAAAAGACTGAGACAATTTAAGAGAGCGAAAGTCAAGTCTTGAAAACTCTGCAAACATCCAATCTCAATTTGATAGGGGTTTGATCGGTTTAAAGAATTTGCTCAGGAAAACCGACTTGGTCACAGACAGTTGATGCCGGTTTTTCAACTTCGGCGTGTGTACTTATGTAACAGCGAAGGAGAAACTATTTGTAAAGCGTATGTTAAAACGAGGAGATAGATTTTTTTAAGATGGATTGTGGGATTTTCGGTGAATTGCATACGCGTTGAGAGCAAAAATAAGAAGGAAGTGTGGTACGAGGAATCGAACCTCGTGTCTTTCTCATGCCGGGAGAACACCTTACCACTAGGCTAACCGCCCTGCTTCCTATCCTTGCTCTCTTTTGCAACCACCAAATTCCACTATTCTCTCCTACAGGATTTTTAGTTCAATTAATTTATTTAGAGGATAAAATGTATTTGATTATTTTCCATTGTCTGTTTTCTCATGCTGTTGTTATTACTGGTTTAAAATTTAGATCTCGTGTCGACCATACGAAATAAGTCAAAAAGATGACCATTACATGATGCCTTTAATTTTATAAAGCCCTTTAACCAGATCCAATTCCCTAGTTATAATTATTGCCAAGTAGACTTTATGCTTATGCGGTGATCAATTTTGAATCAGTTTCTTCTCAAAATAGAAACTTGGCCAAATATTTACATCTTCGGTACATAAATAATTCTGTACTTTCGTGTAACCATTTATATACTCGTTCTGTTGCAGCACCGTTTTTGAGTCGACGTGAGTTTACAGAAGTGAAAGAAAACATTGACTTAGCAATGATGCTGCTTATTCTCAAGTGTGAAAGATGTGTTGAAGTGATTTTTCCTTATTTTGGTAGGACATAATCTTGAGCCGTCTCGTAACAGAGATTAATTTTCCATTTGAAATCACCTTATTTGGCCACTGATGATTTTAAAGGCGTGAAGTAATCAGTACATGTGGAAAATATTAAACTATTACGAAAACCTGCTGGTCATAGATATTTTGAGTACTATAGAAAATGACTCACTAATATTTTCGGAAAGTGTACAAAAAATGCGCATTTCTTCCACCATAATAAAAATATGTGCTCAAGATAAGTGATTCCACTAACGTTTAAACCCCCAACAATCAAAGTTTATGATTTAAAAACAAATCCACTTATCTCTTCACGATAAGTCCAATTCACTTACAGGGAAGCAATTAATTTCCAGTTACCATCACCCAAAGTGCCGTCATAAACTTGGTCACAATTTTAACTAGACACAAATTTAAAAGTGGAAGGAAATAGGAATAAAATTTAAATTTGAACCTATTTATTGCCTCGTCTGCTGTATTTAGGAAATGAAGGGTCATAAACATGATTTCTTTGCTGTGGGTGTTTTGACATGACGCGACAACTGGGATGGAAAAGTCAGTCAGTGCTCTCTGTTTGGCAGTAGACTAATAACACGTAAAATCACCCGATTTATGTACACTTTTCCAATTGCGGTGCTATACAAGTGTTCAAATATCCAAAATATTTTCCGTATTTGTGTCATATGAATATATGTAAGCAACGTATTACACGGTCCACTAACTTTTAATGGGTTTCATAAAAAAAGGACGGATCTAATTTTACTGTGTAACATGAAAATGACAAAAAATGCGTTAGGACCAAAACGCACAAAAGTGGTCCAGTCAGCATATCTACGATAACTGCTTACACACACACACCACCACCGATTGTAACTCCTTCTTCCAGTATAAATGGACTCCATTATCTCAACAATAATGGTCTTTCTCTCTCTTAACATTAATGAGTGGACTGTGGCTGACATTTTTTTGAAAAATGATGCATTACAAGAAAATGTCATTAGCTCAGCTGTTTCTCTTCGGTTTTAAATGCGAGTTATGGCGAAATAAAAATTATCTCGACTTGGAGGCCAACCCGCTTAGACACAGGGGACATAAATCATTCCGGAAGTTGCTTCATATCTTAATGTTCAAAATAAGAAATTCGTGTTCTCCTCTTAAATCGTGGGGCAGATGTGTGTGCGTGCTTATCGGAGTAATTCCTTATCGTTCCATTTGCTACGGTAGTCCCACTCATTTTCTTAGAGTTATATAATACAAATAATTGCGTCTTATCGTGATTACAATGCAGATACACAAATATATAAGTTATACATGAGCACACATACATAAGTATTTGTAGTTCATTACTTTGAATAATATTTATCCGGCTTATAAAAGACAAACTTTTATTTTTGCATTTCTGTCACATTTTACAAACAAATATGCATGGAAAGTTATATAGATATTAATCTGAGACAAATTGACACTTGAGCACAACATTTATCTAGCAAATCTATCTTCTAAAATATATAAACGAATGATAAAATACAATCGTGCCTTCACAAATAGAAATCTCTCTTTTGTTGACATTTGAATAGAACGGTGACTTCCGTTGCATAAATATTATCTCAAACTTGTATCCGTTTTCCATCACATCAAGCAATTCATTTCTGCCCGATTTCGATTCACACATGAGAAAGTTACATATTATTATTACATATCAGCACCACCCGTTCTAATACTATTGATATCACCACCACATTCTGTTTTTTCGACCATGTCGTCCTTGGCGGATGTGACATTAACATTTTCAAGCGACTGACTCCTCTTGCATATACTTTCTCCTCCTCCCGTTCTTCTCCTCTCGGGAAGAAGGCTTGGCGAAGACTTGATGACTTCGCTGCTGGACCCTGTAAAAAAAGTAGAGTTACGTAACAGTTGGAATTGTATATATGCATAAGTCATAAGTTATGTAAAATTGCGAAACTTTTGTCTTACTCAACGGCGAGTTTTGTAAAATAGGAGTTGTATTCAAAATCTTGCCACTGGAGTGAAATTCTGCTGGAACATTATTCTCCTCAGTGATCTGCCTACTAATAGTAATGCCGCTTGACGGGGAGGAACAGGATCCGGCATTACTATTATTATTCTCTCGGGTCCCTTGGGCCCCTTTACAACTCCGGTCTGACCCCCTTCTCGTGCTGGATGGAGCGGCTGACAAGTCGTTCAAAGGTGAAGCCTGTGTGACTGGTGACGATACTGGAGATGGGATGTTGGCAGGCAAGTCATGGTGGTGGTGATTGGGTCGTCGTGAATGATTGTTATTCGGTTGACGACGAATTTGTTGAGATGTGGAAAAATGTGTGGTGTCGTTCCTAGGTCGGCATCGAGTACCGTTGTTGTTGTTACCTTCACTCGGAAGTGTGTGACATATCGTTTCTCGGAGAAGTTGTTGCTGAATCTCGTTATAGGATGGGAGCAGATTGTTGTTCGAGGAAGGTGGAGGTACCAGCGGGGGATTTCGGGGAACCCTGACGCGATTCCGGATTCTGTACTGTTCCAGGAAGTAGGGCGGTGGTAAACTGTTATGATTCGAAGAAGAATTGGAGGTAGGGCTGAAACTGACAGAATTTAAAAGTGACGACATTGTCGAGGCGGATGGATAAGAGGATCTTCCACCGCCGCCGCCCACAGTGTAAATTGTGGGTATGTGGGCTTGATTACTTCCCAAAGTCATTGTTGCGGCTCGGGCGATGTTACCATTTCGAGAATAATTATTGTAACCCTGTTGCTGCTGATGATTGCTATTCGTGTTCCGTAATGATAAGTTATTCGGATTTTGTTGCTGTTGTTGATTCTGGTAATGAGTCTGTAATAATTGTCTTTGAAGACGGAGTGCTATCGCGGCCGTGTTTTGTGACGGGATTGAGTTTGTTCTTGAAATTGAGATAGAGTTTGATGACTGTTGTTGCTGCTGCGGTTGGTGTTGCGGTCTTGAAGTCGGAGTAAAACTTGAAATTGTTGAGATGGACGAGTTCGACGAATTATCGGGAGAATTTCGAGCAGGAAATGATAAATTTGTTGGCCGAGACATTCTTCCGCCGTTTAAAATCTGGGCTTGATTATTATGATTTGCCACATTGTTTCGGAGAAGGGTTGGTTGCTGCGGATGATGGCGTCCTTGACCACTTGGGAATAATAAGGGCTGCTGTTGTGCAGGAGGGATTGGTGGCATCGCGTTTTGAGAAGCGGCAGTACCACTCCACGGGTCCAAAACAGGGATTGGAATCGCAGCCACAAAGGCGGAATTGTGACTGTGATTAAAATTGCTGGTGGGCGTTGTAGTCGAATTTGAAGAGTTCATTAGACCACAACTGGTTGAAGAGGCCGGAATCCGGTACAGACCTATAAATTCAGATTGATTAGTCAATTAAATCTCGACTTGTTGACTGCATAGCTTGATTTGTGGGATTGATTTGTCTCCTTAAACAGAGAAGAAAAGGTCTGAAGGATGAAATTTATTTTATTATTCTTATCCGTAAACTGGATTATGAGATAAGTTGGTAGATTTTACCAGAGAAAAGAGCAAATATAAGTACAAGAAGACAATAAATAAGATATACAATTTTTTCGAAAGTTTCTTTCCTCCAAATCTGCCAGAGTTTATTTTATTGACAACTTTATGACCTTTATTCCTCGATTTGGCTTTATTACCTCCGGGTAGTTGGAGCTGACTCCGGCGTTTTTTGTAGAGAAGGCAACACTTGCAGTAAAAGCAGGTCACTATGATCATCAAAACGGTTACGGCTACCAATCCACAAATCACTGCTGCCACGGTGGAATTCCTGCGAGTAGAAAAAGTATGCATGTGAGATTCCTCGGTATCAATTTCTATTATTTTTTGTAATAAATGGCACATGCATACCTGGCGATATCCACTTTAATATTCAAAATTGTCCCACCACCACCACGGTCCCCGGAAGCCTCACCTGCTGCCGGGGTAGTAATGGTGGTGGTGGTCGTCATCGTCGTGGCAGGAGCCAGGTGGGTGGAAAGGTCGTAATCCTTGGAAAAATCCACTTCCATGTCACCATCTGGAGTGTGGTGTGAGGTCAAATTGGGGCCACCGTTTGCGGGTGAAAGCAGTGATCCTCCTTGTGTACAGCAGTACTTGAAGACAGCGTCCCCACAGCAAAATATGGCCGTCGACGTGTCCGGAGATATCGGAGGGCAGTAAAACCCATTGTTCCAATTGCCATCCTTATCCACAAATCCGGAGCAAAAGTCCTTCCCAAAAACTGTAATTAAATGAGTTCATGTTTAATTAATCATTCCGTTTTAGATTATCTTTTCCCTGATCAATGTGAACTTTAGATTTATTATCCTGATATTTAAACATGTCGCTTTCTTGGCATTCATGAAAAGACGAGGTTTATCAAATTCATCGAATTTGTAATGTCAGACTTTCGCTTCTCTTAAACCATTAAAGATCATGAATCATTATTACAACTGAAATATTATATGAGAAATCCTAAATTCGAAGATACGCACAAATCTATATGGATGGATGTGGCGCAGCTCCTCTGCCCGGGATATGGTACTTAATGGAGCAAAATTATTGTCGAGAAATCGGGCAACCCCTGACTTTTATGAGGTGAATGATTAATGATTAGAGATGGAAATGATGAGATGTCTTCTACACCCCACGATGTGTGCTCTTCCTCCACCCCGTGCAGTTGGCTACTATCATCAACCCGTCAGATTTAAGGCTTCAAGAAAGAAAGATGCGATCCGGCCAAGTCAGCATGGATTCCAAAATCACTTCCTACACCATCATGCATCCTTTCACCCCTCGGAACCCATACATATGCGACGAAATACCCACGTTCATCAACATAATTCCTCCGTATCAAGGACACATTTGGGGTAAACATTTTACCAAAAATTTTCAAAATTTTGACATAACCTTAGTCGCAAAGTTGTGAAAAGAAGTTTGTAAATAAATTGAAAAGCTGTCCAACAATATTGAAACATGGACATTGATGGCGAAGAAGAACATGTGTCACCACACTCTGCTGGAGCACATCAGTTAGCCAAGTTTGACATAAGGACACGGTCTGCCTCCTGACGCTAGCATTTTATTGGTTTTAGATTTGGATGCCTTTGAGCAAGACAATCAAAACTCATTCGAGATCAGTGAACCACAGCAAGAAATTGTCCATGTAATACAAAGATATGAGAAAAGTTGATCCCATTCCATCAAACCAAAACTTTCCCCAAGTAGGACAAATGCTGTATGTAAGAAATATGGTCTGTACGCGATATGTCGCGACCTTCAACCTCCTCCTCCATCGGTACGTACGTTACTTACGTACGTCTGGCCTGCTGCAAGTCAATCATCAATCTCATTCCGTCAACTTCAGCCTCGTTCTTCATTGCCAATTTGGTAGCGCTGGATCCACTATTGATTCCTTTCTGCTGAAGATGCAAAAAATACAACGCCCGGAATAAAAGGAAAATAATGTTGCTACTTTATCCATCCATACGGCGAAAGACTAAAGAAATCAGAAAATCAGATTTCACTACGGCCAATCGGATCATTTCCTGTGTACGAATAAATATACGTATATATCGACGAAATAAGACGCCTCTCACCTCATCGAACCAACCAACCCTGTTCACCAACCTGCATAATCAAGTAAAATAAAATTCCCATCATCCAGAATCTAACCGTCCACCCACCAACTTGACTTTTCGTCTGGTCACTTTTTTTCTGTCGCGTCTGATTTCCCGATAAGAAATAAATTCCATATTTAACTACCATCTCCACCCATCTACTTGTCCCTATCTACGAGAAGATAAAGTTATTCCAGATCTGTAAGCCGGCCGAAATCGGTGCGTACGTCCTTATCGCGACAAGGTCTTCTTCCCAACTTAATGTCCAACATACGCCATACATTGCGGTCTTATCGTCAGATTTCTTGCCCATCTTCAAAAAATATATTCTTCTGTACAACAATAATCTCAACTAACTGCATCAACTAGGCTTCATTCTTTATTATTATTTTTATAGATTCCTCCTCCACCCAAACACATGGGAGCAGCGAGGAAGCAAGTCTAAAACGGAGGAGGGAAAGTTTTCCTACGAGAGAGAAAGATGAGATACGAATTGTTGAGAGAAAGTGGATGGGAGGGAGAAGTGAGCTAAATGGAGCAAGTGTAAAAAAGGGATTTAAGATGTCATAACTTAATGCAGTTGTGAAGTTTCAGGACTTCTTTTCTTCCTTACGGCTCGTCATATAAAGCAGGATGGATGAGGAGAGAGAGAGAGAGTTGCCGAGGAAAGGGCACGTAATAAAGTACTGACTTTTGTTTCTAAATCCACACGTCAATCAAATTATTTCATACAAAAAACAGATACGTGCCGTATTTATGAACAAGGTAGAGGATCCACCTCATTTCAACACCGTTTAAAAAACTGGGGATTAATAATTGCGTCGATTTTAATGAATTTTTTAAAAGATTTCATCAATCTCAATACGAGCTGGATGGTGTAGGAGGACGTGGTGTATTTGTTTTACTTGTTATGCCTCGAATCAGCCGCACATTGACTTTCTCCCATGAAATGGAGCCCCAGCAGAACTTCCCTCCCGCAAACAGCTAAAGGCTTTCTCGTGTCCCTGTCACCCTTAACTTTCACTCACTGTCTGTCTGTCCTATATGTCCATGCATCACTCATACGCCACCCATCCGTGGCACGGTTTGGCAGTGGTGTCGGTGTCACATAGGAGGGCGACATGCCGTTCTCTGCTTGCTTACGGTGTCTGTGTGTGTGAACTCATTTCTTTATTTGATGAAATAGGAAGAGCTTTTAGCAGATTCCTAGATAGCTGGCTGATTCGGTTCCATCATCTCATCATCATCCGCACATGCACTTTTGCACAAGTTTCCTACTCCTCCTCCTCCCTTTCATCTCCGTTTTTACACGTAACAAGAATTGAATTCTGTTTTTGAAGTGAGTAAATCTTCTCAAGCGAAATCACTCTTCTATTCACTTTGCGACTCTTTTTAGGTGGGGAGAGGTCTTATGAAATGGTCGTGTATGTCCGTCCCTTCCTGATTGATAACCTATTCGACTGGGTTCAAATTTTGTGCACAAACCTGCATTGGGTCAAGTTAAGGGACAAATTAGAAGATACTGTGCTCTTACTTAGGCTTGTCACCTCATTTGCATAAATCTCACTACATATGCCCATTTCCGGCGATTCGGGCTTTCCATGTTGAGCAAACTCTGTCTCTCGCGAATGCGTCAAAATATGTATGCAAATTAGGTGACACGCACAAATAATTCCACTAAAGTGGGATCGTTGAGATACCCGAAATTATCATAGAAAGCTACATGTACTTATACTTATACAATGGAATCTGGCAAAATAAGTAAAAGTTACTCATGAATGAGATTGACAGCTTATGCGATTTTTAAAAGTTGTTATATGGCCTGAAATTTGGTCCCGTTTGATGGAAATAATAAAACAAGTGCTTATAAAGTTAGTCCCATCCTTGAAATTGAATTACCCTGGCTCGGGCCAAATTAAACTGCACTTTAGGTTTTTCCTCCTGAATTATTAACGTGCACTGTAGGAAGCTCGACAACTTTTATCAATAGATTAGGTGGAAGGAAAGAGGAGAACATTTCGTGTTAAGTGTCGAGGACGTGACGAATGGAGGAAGACGGACAGGGTAACAAAACCGAGATAAGAGGGAGAGATTTTAGATTTTAGTGAAAATAAAAACCATTTAACAACCACTGCAATTGGCGACTCCATTACAATGCGACGAGGTGTCATCTCTCAATGTTTGCATTGTTCTCCATTTTTGGCAGCCAGCTTACTCTCAAGAGTTGCCCTATCTTTAGCGCACAAGAAGATTTTAAGTAATTGCGAGATGATGCCAACAAATGAAGTCTTGATAAGAATTAAGATAAGACGACAATTTGGCGTATACTGAAGTTTCTTGTTCAAAGAGCTTCTTTCAAAATATTTGCAAGATTTAATTTCTAAATTGTACCACCACAATTTTTTGAGCGCTGAGAAAACCCCAAGCTTTATTTTCCCTCAGAGTCGCTTTCATATCCACAGTTTCCTTTGTTTTTGTCGTCATCCCCTCCTAAAAAAATTGCTACACGGAAGAGGAAGTCGTAGATAAACAAGGAGGGGAGATAACTCTTTTACCATTTTTATCTCATTTTACGACCAGGAATGAATTTTGATACAGCGACATGTACAAATATTTCATAACAGTCAATGCATTTGTTTCTCGGCAGAGAAATACGGCGCACATACATACGCAAAATTTTATAGCGTACAATTTACAATTTACGGAGAGAATTTGCAGTAAAAGACGATAATGTTGGCGCACGATTTTTTAACATTGGCCATAATACGGTATAAACCCCCCCTCGGGGAACATTATTTTGCTACATTTGCAAGTGAAAAAGAAAAGATCAATTTCTTTTATGATATCCCCACCGCCAGAAACCACCAACGTCAACTGTTTCTTAAATTATACTAATTACTCCAAGCCAAGTTTTGAAATGTTGCTCCCTGTCGTGCCGCTATCATCTGGGATGAGCAGAAAAAGCTCCACGGGAAGGAATCTAAAAAATTCTTTGGGTATAATATGCCTTTTGACGTAGTCCCTCATAATTCGTATTTTACGACAGGGCTCGAAATCCCTGGGCAAACCGAACCACGTTGTAGTACGGCTTACAATGCTTCTGGATAACAAAACTTTCCTGCCTCCATGGTCCCTGAGCCGGTTGGTTGGCGTGAATTGTAGATGATTTCGCTACACTTGCTTGCTTGCGAGGAGGAAGCAGTGCGTTGGGAAATTGTGCCAAAATCCAACAAAATAAAACCAAGCAGTGGTTTAAGCGTTGCAATATTAAAATGTACGAGCATAGTAAACCGTACCGCAGACAGACGAGTGACTACTGCAGATTTTGGGGAGAAATGTGTCGCGAATTAGGTATGCGGGCAACACTTTGTATGATTTTTGAAGGTGCAAGTTGTCTGAAATTTCCTACTTTTTTACAGACAATTGCAATTAAAAGGAGACCCAAGATTAGATGCAAATCAGGATTAAATCCTTTCATTTAAGTAAATGTTACATAAGTAGTGCTGCGTACATTTGGAAGGGCATAAACAACACCAAAGGTACTTAGCACTCATTCCCCATGCAAATTTAAACTGTTAACATAGGAGGGAAAGATTTTCGTCTTTCTCTCTCATTCAGCCAG